TTTTTTTTTTTTTATACATATATACCTTCTAGAAATGTGCTGTGCAAATATATCTCTGCTCTAAAGCAAAACACGTATTTCAGTACAAGGCATCCTGCAGCTTACTTAGTTTTCCTAGCCCCTAGACATCTCTCTCGAGCCCCAAGGAGGTGACTCAACCTCGTGCACAGCTTGATTACCAAATTGATTCTATGAAGAGTAATCTGTCCATTTCTTTTTCAACGGCTGCTTTGGCCGTTTGCAATCCCAACACTTTTGCAACAGACATTCCTGCCTGTCTGCCTCTCTGTTCAGATGTCCACACTAGGTTTTCGACCCTGGTGGTATGTTCACGAGGAGAACCAGACTGTCAGCCCCACTGGTAGCAATGATGGCTAACTGTATGGAGCACCTTATATGCCAGTCCGGGCACTGTTCTGGCTCCCAGTCCTGGACAATAATCTTACGAGGTGGTCACTGGTGGTAGCCACACTTCCCAGATGGGAAAACCGAGGCACAGAGAGGGGAAGGAATTTGCTCAAGATCATGCAACTAGCAAGAGGCAGAGCTGGGCTTAGAAGCTGAGCAGTTTGGATCGTGTGCTAGTGCTGTTTCTCAAGCAGGGACATAGCTGTGCATATACGGGACCCCCTTCCCCCCCATACCATTTCCTCATTCCTAAGTGTGCAACGTCACATTGGAAACACATGATTCTGGAGTAGCTGGTCATGCGCTCCAACTCCACAGAGCTGAATTGCTTTGCACGACCATGCCTTGTAGCGCTGACACAACACCACAGGTACACACGCTCACGTATGGGGCCCTATGTTTTTCCGTCCTATCTAGGGCTACGGAGACCCGAACCTAGCTTTTCCAGAGACTTGGCTAACTTGTATAACCCGAGTCCCCCTTCTGTGTCTCTTTCCTCCTTCCACACATGTTAACATTGCCGTGGCTCAAGACCAACCCTCTTTGATTTGATTCTTCCCTTTTTTCTCCTTCTTGTTTACCACACACCCCCCCCCCCATTTGCTTGCTCTCTCCCTCCTGTTCTTGCTCAGTGGACATCACTAACAGTCTCTGTTACGCTTTGCCTCTGCCCTAGGGGAGACAGAGGATCCGGGCCAGCTAGAAGTTGACACAGGCTGGGGGGAGGGCCACCTGCAGGGGCTGGGGAGCAGTGTAGAACCCAGAGATCAGGAACTGAATTTTGCTAAGAAAAATCAAGGCACACCTCCTGGGGAGGTACCTGTTCACTGGGCTTCCTAAGGGGAAGGCATGGTACTCCTCCCTTCAACTACTTCCTGCCCAGCGACACCCCCCCCCCCCTTAAACGCTGTGATGATAAGGGTGAGGAATCAGGTCCTACCCCTAAACGCAAGGAAAACCGGGCCCACGCTCGCCTTGGGGAGACAGCCGAACGCAGAGGTGCTACTCCAGTGAACGTGGGATGCCAGCAGGGTGATGGTGAGAGCCTCACGGTGGGCAGGGCTGCCTGGCTCAGATGTCCCGACCACAGCAGCGCGTCATGGCACTCCCTGGCTGTGGCCTGATCCTTCCCCGGTCTGCTGGGCTTTGTTTCCTCTCCTTGGGGGGTAGTGTATAGGACTCTTCCAAGTCCCTTGGTGCAGGGAGGAGTTCAGAACAGTCATCGTGAGTCACTGAGGCTCATCGACTTCAATGTTTTGTTGGAGTCCTGGTTTCTGCATCTACATATCGGGGCTGACGTTGTACTGGGGCTGTAAGAGATTCAGTGGTCATATATGCCAGCCCGCCTTTATTGAGCATTTACTCTGTGCCTGGCACTGCTCACGGCAAGCTCTCAACCAGCCTTTGAGACGTACTTTTATTCCCTTCAACACATAGGAAAAATGAGGCTCAGGGAGGTGAAGCAGGCTGCCTGAGATCACACAGCAAGAACTTTGAGAGCTGAAATTCCAAACTCAAGAGCAGAGATGGCAACTTTTTTTTTTTTTTTTTCCTGAAATGGACCAGAGAGAGTAAATATCTTGGGCTTTGTGGGCCAGTCTCTGTCGCAACTGCTCAGCTCTGCTGTAGTATTGGAAATATGGTCATAGGCAACCCTCAAATGAATGGGCGTGGCCACGTGCCAACAGAACTTTATTTGCGGACACTCACATTTGACTTTCATGTAATTTGCACATATGCCATGAAATAATTCTTCTTTTGACTTTCCCCGGCCACTCAAAACCGGAAAAAAATGGAACGAAAATTTTGTAGCTCGTGGACTGTGGTTTCTTGACCTCTAGAGCCTGTGTGGGTAACTGTCATGCTGGACTTCACTCGTTCATTCATTCATTCATTCATTCATTCAATGAATATTACGGAGGCTGGCCATTTTCTGGGCACTGGAGGGAGAAGGGTCACAAAGCAGATGAAATGCTTCTCTTCAGGAGATAACAATTTTGTAGGCAAAACCAGCAAGGAAATAAAGAAATAAGAATATTTCAGATGGTGGAAATGCTCTCAAGGAAACTCAGCAGGGGCAGTGTCACCCGGGACCCCAGGGGGGGACACTTTCATGCAGGTCATCGGAGAAGGTGATGCTTGTGGTCCCCCAAATACCATTGTTGTCAGCGGAGGCAATCCTTGGCTGTGGGCCTACTGTGGGGGTAGGACTTAATAATAAACAGATTGGCCCAAGGGGCCCCCGGTGGCTCAGTTGGTTGAGCTTCTGACTCTTGATTTCGGCCCAGGTCTTGTTCTCACTACATGGGGCTCTGTGCTGACGATGTGGAACCTGCTTGGGATTCTCTCTCTCCCTCCCCCACTCGTGTGCCCTCTCTCAAAATAAAGAAAGAACATTAAAAAAATCTTTTGGTTTTTATTTATTTTGAGAGAGAGAGAGAGAGAGAGAGAGGGAGAGAAAGAGAGGCTGTGAATGGGGAAGGGGCAGAGAGAGAGAGAGGGACACAGAATCCAGAGCAGGCTCCAGGCTCTGAGCTGTCAGCACAGAGCCTGATGCAGGGCTTGAACCCAGGAGCCGTGAGATCATGACCTGAGCCGAAGACGGATGCTCAACCGACTGAGCCACCCAGGCGCCCCAACAGTTAAAAAAAAAACCTTAAAAAACAAAACCAAACCAGACTGGCCCATGGCCTGTGAGCTTCTTGGCTGAGTGATGCCATCAGAAGAGGGCCCTTTGGCCTCAGTATCTGTGTATCTTCCTTCCTGGTTGGTCAGGTTCCTAGGAGATGGGCGTTTTACTGTCGCATCTTCCCAGTCCTGGGTGCTGAGTGGGGGTGGTGAGGGCTGCGGTGGGGACATTTCAGCTCCTGCATTCAGGGGCACCGGTGTACTTAACGCTCTGGTGTCCAGGGTGACTCTTGGACCTTAGCTGCCACCCACCGCACTCTCTTTCGGAGCCCTGGGGGGTGGGGTGGCCACCAACCACCGTGCCTTGGGGGATGGTGATGGCGGCATTGTGCCAGAGAGATCATTTTGGCTCCCCAGCCTGCTGGCTGACAATTTTGGCTTAGTTTTCAAAAACAACTGCTCTAGCTGTGACCGCGCTGGGGTTTCGGGAAAAAGCACAGTGTACCCGGTGCTGGGCTCATCATCTCTGCCCAGAGTGTCGCTGGAACGGAAAGTGAGCGTCAAGAAGGTGTCCCCTGCCTGCCGGTCTGGGGAAAGAACATTCAGGTGGCAAGCGCCCGGCACAATGCAGTGGCCTGGAGGGCTCATCCCCACCGAGACTCCTCAGAGACTCCAGAGTTTATGCTCCCAGAGCGTCAGCAGGTCTAGCTTGTGGTGCTAGAATTTGCATAACTAACAAATCCCCAGGTGCTGCTGCTGCTGCTGCTTCGGGTATCACACCTTATAAACCACTCACACCGGAAGCACTTAGCACCTGTGCACCAACAACGGCCAGTGTCATCATTGTTTTCTTCCCCTAATTCCCCAGGGAGGCCCAATACAACAGGATAGAACGCAGGGGCGTGCCATCCTATACTTAACTCAGTTGAACCAACATAACCCCCCTTCCCACCCCCTGCATTTCCTGGCTGCCCAAGCAGGGCCGAGATCAGGTGTCCTGCGGGCCCTCCCAGTTTCCACAGGGAAAGTGAGGCCTGCAGAGAGGGTCAGAGGATTGGCGTGGCCACCCGGCCGGGCCGGTCAGGGCAGAGCAGGGCTTTTGTAGGAGCTCAGGACTTTTCCAGGGCCGCC